TCTCTTCTTGAATTTGATATCTATATTCCTATGTTCCCTTCTTAGGATAGTATCTCTTCCCTTTCTAATTATCAAAGATTGGATTTAAGTTCCAACTTTGCTAGAAAAGTTATCTTAACTAGTCAAGCTTTCTCTGAATAGTATTTTCCTCTGAGTGAATGAATATGACACAGTTTAATTATATTTTGCTTAATAATTGATTGTTTTTGATTCATGTGTACTTTCAACTACACAGTAGAGACCACAGAAGTATAAGGTACACTTCTAAGTATATCTTCAGTATTGTTTTACAATCAATAGCTGCCATTTATTAAGTACCTATTGTGTGCCTGACACTATGTTAGGGTTTTAAAATAATAGTTGGCATAGTTAGGGTCAAGGATATCAGAGAGGGCCCAATATTAAGAGTCCAAAGGAACAGATAGGCTATGAATAAAGTTAAATATGCAGAGATCAGCTAGTTGGAAGAACAAGAAGCAAGGGTGACAGTTTACCGCCTAGCTATTCTGATTAAATGGATATTGATTAGAACGCTCTACTCCAGAGCTACTTCCTCTACTGATTTGTTGACTTTTAAAATCTCCTCTAGATTCCTGGCTAAAATGTAAATATCCTTCTTAAATGATCAGACATTTATACTTTATAGAATTAAGACATTTCTTAGGGTAGTAAGAACAGTATCTGTGGACAGTACAGTCTATTTGATGGGAGAAAAGTTCAGGATGCAACTCAGGTAGAGAAAGTAAAAAAAAAAAAAAAATGAGGAGATTAGAAATAGTGAAAAACATTTTAATCAATTTAATTTACAAGTTTTCCTAGCATGAGTCTTACAGAGCCAAATTAATCTGTTCTAGCCACAATTGCGCAAATAGAAAAGATCATTAAAGGAGTCACACTTCAGAAGTCATAGCTGAAGTGCCTTTGTACCACTAAAATGCATTGATTTATTCAATCTTAGTCCTAAAAGATACCACAAAGTTGCTGGGTACCCAACAGAAAAGAAAAAGGGAGCCAGAGTGGGGACAAGACATATCACCTCCCTTAGATAAGAAAGGCATAACACCATGTTTAAGAGCAGGGGCTCTCAGTCCACTCTGGGGCCTGCATTCCGCTTCCACCACTACCTGACACCACCAAGTAACCCATCTTGTGCTTTCCTTCCCTCACTAAATTATTATGATCATTACAAGAGTTAATCCATGTAAAGTGTCTCACACAGAAAACTATCAAACGTCAGACACTATTATTACTTTTATTTTCACCAGCTCACTCATAGAGGGAAATCAAATGAGCTATTTAAAGTCATAATGATAAAAGAAATGAACTAACAGATTTCTTTTGCTTACTTGGATTCCTCTTAGTGGATGACTGAATATCTACTAAGATATCACAAGGGGGTTTGCTTAAAGAAATTCAGTTGCTGCTGCATGTTCAACATTTATCATCACTTAGAAAGGAGATACTAAGAAATTAGACAGAAATAATAAGGAAACTTAATATCAAAATGGCATCAGAATATAATTAATTCACTATGCAAAAGTTAAAGGTATATAAATTAGGTGACATTCACTAGAAAAGCTACTGAATGCTACCTATTATCATGAGAATTTCAGTATGTATTAAACTGATTTATGGGAAAGAAAAGAGAACAAATTTGCCATAGTGGAAAAATTTGATAACTTACCTTGATGACATCTTCTGGCCATGCATTAAGAATTGAAGCAATATGCCCCCGATCATGTATACTAATGAAGAGACCTCTGGCAGAAAAAAAAAAAAAAAAAGAATAGTTTTAATTAACTTCAGACCTGTTGAACTATAGTGAACATTTAAAATTTCTTTCAAATTCATTTAACATATCTCCATTTATATCAAACTAGTGAAAATTATCTCCTTAAACAAATAAGGGATAGGAATCTTATAAGGGAGAAAGTACTTTAAACAATATATTGACATCTACAATAAAGGTATATTTAATCCTAAATTTTTTAAATATGTTGAAATTAAGAAACACTATATACAGAGAACTTAAATAGCATTATCAATTCCACTCATACATTCATTTACAGTCTTTCATTAAATAAGATAATATTAAATGTATGAAAAAGCACTTTGAAAAACAACATGAAGCATACATAAACAGGCATTTTCAAAGTATATTCCATTTATTACATTTTCAGTGTGAAGATGAGAACATGTATTAGAGATGGCTGAAGTGGCTTGACCAATGCTGAGCAGCTCTTTCATGTGGAGGTGACTCTTTCATTTGTGGTCTTAGTTGCTGTTTGCAACTGTCATTTAGACTCAACTGAAGTCTTTAACACTACCTGCCCCCTGCACCCTTCCTTACAAAAGTTTAACAGGTAACTTTATAAATTAAAATATTAAAATTTTAAAAATATAAATGCTTTATCCTCACTTAAAAGGTTTTTTTTTTTAAATTTAAATAGATTAAGGGAGTACAAGTGTTTTTTTGCTACATGGCTAAACTGCATAGTGGAGAAGTCTAGGCTTTTAATGTACCCAACATCTAACAGTGTACACTGTACCCAACAGGTAATTTTCATCCCACATCCCTCTCCCACCCTCCCCCTTCTGAGTCTCCAACGTCCAGCTCTGTATGACGATGCATCCCCATTGCTTAGATCCCACTTATAAATGAGAACATGCAGTATTTGGTTTTTTATTCCTTGGTTACTTCATTTAGAACAATGGCCTTCAGTTCCATCCAAGTTGCTGTTTTAGTATTGTTAAATATAATTCAAATACAGACAACCACACACGACAAACGTATAGCTTAATGAATTGTTATCAAGCAACCACTCTTCTACATAATACTCATTTAAAAAGAATCTTGCCAGTTACTCAGAAGTCATTCCCATGTTTTCTCCCCAAAACTCTTCCCTCCTGAGAGTAACAACCATCCTGACTTTCATCATATCATTTCCCTTATAGTTTTGTCACCCAAATCATAAAGCATCCCTAGGCACTATTGCTTAATTTGTCTGGTAGTTTCCTACAATCTGGATTTTACTGATTACTTCCCTGTGGTATACATTAACATGTTAATCTTTTTTCTGTATTTCTTAGAAAATTAGTAACTGGATCTGGAGGCTTAATCAGATTCATGTTCAATTTTTTGGACAAGACACTTCATAGGTTGATGTTATCAGAAGGCACACAATATCTGGTATTCCTTTTCTTGATGTTAGCAGCTGCTGATAGTAAATGCCTAAATTCACTAATTCATTGGGATTACAAAATGGTGATATTCCAATTTTATCATTCATTACTTATTTACTGGAATACTTCTTTAAAGAGAAATTTCACCACATCTATTGAATTGACACAAGGAAAGGAAAAATGCTTGATTCTCTTTACTTGTCAATTTTTAAAATAAAGAGCTGGTTTACTGGAATTCTTTGAGGGCTTCCCCTTAAGTCATTGTTATTGTTGTTGTGTGTGTGTGCATGGTGGATTTTGTTTTTTGGGGGAGATCAATATGAACTCATTGATTTAAACATATTTGATATGCTTCAATCTATCAGTTATTTTCCTTATTGATACTAATGTTGTCCATCTTTAGCAAATGAAATACTCTTCATACTGTCCCGAGTCCCTTCTGACATAACTATAGTAGATTTTTTTTAATTTCAAAATATTAAAGGGGTACAAATGTTACTGGTAACACGTATCGCTTTTGTAATGCTTGAGTCCCAGCTACAGGTATGCCCATCACCCAAACAGTGTACCCATTAGGTAGGTTTTTTGCCCCTTCCCTTCTCCCCACTCCCCTGCTTGATTTCCACTGAGTTTTACTTCTCTCTGTGCACACATGTACTCATTAGTTAGTTCCAATTTAATAGTGAGTACATGCAGTGTTTGCTTTTCCATTCTTCAGATACTTCACTTAGGAGAATGGTCTCCAGTTCCATCCAAATCGTTGCAAACGATATTAATTCATCCCTTTTTTTGGCTGAGTAGTACTCCATGGTATACACATACCACATTTTACTAATTCACTCATGAATTGATAAGCACTAGGGCTGATTCCACATCTTTGCATTTGTGAATTCTGCTGCCATAAACATTCATGTGCAGATGTCTTCTTGATAAAAAGACTTCTTTTCCTTTGAGGCTACAGCAGTTTTTGATCACTTTCTTGCTGTTATGATAAGATGTTCCAGGTTTATTTTGAAAATATTCAGCCCCAGGTCTGAAATCAGCCATTTTTCTAAGATATCCAGGTTTATTTTAGCAGAAAGTAGTTTTTCAAGGCCACAATCTAGGTAATAAGGATGCTTACTCCTACTAGTTGGCAAAGTATTTATAGAAAAATCACAAGACAATGTTGATAAGATTCACTTCCTATTTATGGCTGCAAATCTCAAATTAACACTCTTCTCTTATGCAATTTACCACTATGATTTCCTTGCAAATTTAACTGACCAATCTCTGGGAGGACTATTTTATACCTCCTTTCTCCTCCCATCTTAAATATCCATCCCCTTCTCACATTCTGTTGATAACCTAAATCTTGCAAATAGATGCAATAGGGTGAAAACTACCTCATCATTCTACTATAAATTCCATTAACCCATCTGCATATTTTTTTTTACATCTTCTGCCCTGCCTCCTGTTACAATAGAAGAAACTTCCCTAACGTTATTAAGGCCTTGCTCTTGTGCACAGGACCCTAACCCATCTCAGCTTTTCAAAGGCTTCACTTCTGCAATTATTCTATCTCTATGCTACATCATTGCTTTCTCTACTGGATCAATTTTAATGGCATAAAAACCTTCCCTAATATTATCTATCTTTTCAAAAGGTTCGATTTTGTCCCCTTCACAAGACTTGCACATTCTTCCTGTCTCTGTTTCTTCACCACCCATTCTCTCTTCAGGCTATCAGTAAGGCTTTTCTCCCTCTCCTCTCCACAGACAACTCCTACCAAAGTCACTGAGGATTCACATCTGCATACAGGCAAAGGTCAGCTCTCAACTCTGATCTTACTCGACTTCTCCACTGTGTCTGACACTGCTGACTTTGCCCCTTCTTGAAACACTTGATCTTCTCGCCGCTGCAGTAACAGATTTGCCTGCGTTTCCTCCTAATCGCTATTTGCTCCTTCTCTGATTCCTTTTGCTGCCTCTTCCTCCTCTGCTAGTCTTCTTAGTGCTGACCTATTCCAGGGCTCTATGCCCACTTCTCTTCTACACCTATACTCTCTATTGATATATCTCAACCAGTCTCATGATTTTAAATATCATGTTCATAATGATGACTCTCAAATTTCTATCTTCAACCTATATCTCTCCCTTGAGCTCCAAACTAGAAATCTAACTACCTACTTAATTCTTTTTCATTTTTCAAGCCTCAGCTCAAACCTTAGTTTCTCAGACAGGCCTTCTCTCATAACAGTAGTCAATGCACCTCCACCTCAACATTTTTATCATCTTCATAATGCTTATAAATATCAGGAATTGTCTTATGTATTTGTTCATATGTTTACTGTCTGTCTCTACCCTGGCACCCACACCCAGTATACAAATACACACAAAGCAGTAAGTTCCGTAAGTACAGAGACTATTTTGGTTAGTTACATTTGTAACCCCAATGCCAATCAAGTGTGCTGGCTCACAGAATGTGTCCAACAGTACGTGCAGACTTGAGTGCTGAAAAATTAGGCTTTTATGAACAATTTTTTAAAAGCACAGAAAACATGAAATACAATCTTAAGAGAAACCAGAGTATAGGAAAACATGAAATAAATCCAGACTTATACTGACTTATTAAGAAACCAAAAATTATATTATGACAATAAATGATACGGGAGATTACTTATGATTGTCTGACTCAACAAAAATATTAACTTACTAAGTTGACACATATCTTTTCCTGGTTCTCTTGCTGTTTCATATGAATTTATTTTGCTTCTCAAAAATGATTATAAGCTCTTTATAGGTTATATATTTCTTTTGGATCCCTGTCATAGCCAACTTGACCCTATATAATCAGCAGGACCTCAATAAATAATTGTAAAATTAAAATGAAATATTTCTGGATGTTTTAAAGAAGGCACTTTTGTTGAATTATCAAAGATATTCTTGGCAACATACTATTAAATATTTCTCAGAAACTGGTTAGTTAGCCAAGGTTTTCCAAGTAATGCTGGTCTCAGGAAACATCATTTTTTAAATAAGGGGGACAATGAATGATACCAAAATTAACACCAATTAAATGCCAAGATTTATTATATACAGATCTGAGTTCAGCTTCAGGAGAAGAGCCACTTGACTACCTGTAATTTCTTACACTGCGTAGAGATTAATTCATGGCAAAAATGATCACTTTGGAGACAGCTCAATAAAAGAAGATCTGTAACGTCCCACCAAAATGAAGCATTTTAAGAGACTTATTTGCAATGCTTCCTGAAATGTCTTCATGATTATAAATCTAACAAGATATCCAAAAGTGTTTTGGCACAGAAATGATTCATACTGTCTGGTATAGAGCTGGATATGAAACATTAATTTTCAACATAGTTATAAAATGAAAAGTTTAGACAAGAAAGGTATTTATCAATGATATTTTAAAAATGAATGGAATTACAATGAACACCTTTTTACCATCCCTGTTTTTGTTATCGATTTGTTTAAAATATTTAATTTTTATTCAAAGAATGTTAAACATGCCAATTAAAAATACTCATGCTTAAAAAAATACACTTTTGTGTCTGTTTCATGTTAGAACTGAGACA